GAGTGTGCCTTTCTGTATGTGCACCATGAGTGTGCCTTTCTGTATGTACACCATGAGTATGCCTGGACCTTCAAAGATCAAAAAGGAGGTTAGATCCTCTGAGAGCAGAGTTATAGATGGCTGTGAACCACCCTGGGGGTGATGGGAACTTAACCCAGGTCCTCTGCAGTAACAAGTGCTCTTAAATGCACTGAGCCATCTCTACACCCACATACATATGTACATATCACACACATACACGTACATATACACATATACATATATGGTGGCATTTGTATGCACTAATGGGCTGCTTTATGACTTGACTGTGTGTGTGAAGCACATAACGAATAGCATATAAACCATAGCTACCATTTAGGGACTAATAGTAGGGACTCGTCTGTTCATCTAAATAATTTATTTTAAATTTTTCCTTATGGTAGAATGTACTTAAGACATTTTAATCGTCTTGAAAGTTACATTTCAAGTTACATTAGTGTGGTGGTAGCCATTATACCCCGCCTTACAACCACTAAAGACTGATCTCCCACTTGCCTTCCCTCTATCCCTCTGTGCACCGTCTTCCAGCCTTTTGAGTCTACCCACTCTCGGTTCCTTAGGTAGATAAAATCAGATTATGTTTGTCCTTTTATGTTTGAGTTGGTTTTCTTTTCACTGTTTATCCATGTTCTAGAAAGTTTACAACTTCTTTCCTTGTGTTTAAACCTTTTATTTGTGACTTGTTTGTTGATAGCAGACTGATCTGGATTGTTCTGCCTTTGGCTGTTGTGAACAGTGCTGCTGCGGATACTGGTGTGCCAGGCATGCGTTTCTTCCTGGAACTAGCATTGGTGATGAAGCGAGTGTTCTCCCACACAGCTCCATCCCTGGCCCCGTACAGTCATCCTGTGTTTACGTTTCTGAGCAGCCATCATGTTCTTCACAGCAGCATTTTATCATTCACATTCCCAGCAGGAACACACAGAGTCACAGTTCTCTCATGTCCTCAAAACACTTGTTGTTTGTCATTTTAAAATATCTTTAAAAAAGTAGTTCATAGCATAAATTTTAAAAGGTCTTGTATACCCCTTTAATCTTTAATAAAAAGATGAGTGCAATTAAGCTGACTGGATATGAAATGTGTTTTCAGAGTGGGCTTCAGTTTCTAAATGTGACTTTGTTTTCTAGAGTGTTCTGGAACAAGATGCATTCCACAGGTCACTCTTGGCCTGCTGCCTTGAGGTTGTGGCTTTTTCCTATAAGCCTCCTGGGAATTTTCCATTTATTGCTGAAATATTTGATGTACCACATTATCATTTTTATAAGGTATTTAAAAATTATACTGGTGATTATGAGACTAACCTCTTGTTATCTACCTTGCTCACATTAAACATATAAATCTATTAAAAACTTAATAATCTCTACGTAGAGAACAAAGGAGAGTCTTTGACCTGCATAAATTCTCGTAATATATAGTAGTATGGCAGATCTCTTTTGCCTGAAACATTCAGTGATTTTTTTTTCCATCATCTGTCAAAGGACTCCAGAGTACTCTGATTGAAGACCTAAGTCGGTGGGTAGGGAGCAGACGTGCTGGATTACACACCTAAAACCCAGCACTTGGAAAGCTTAGGCAGAAGGACTGCAGATTTGAAATGGGCTAGAGATTAGCAAGGGATCTCAGAAAGGAAAGAAAGAAGAGAAACAGGTACAGAGGGGTAAGAAGAGGGGATGCTGGGACTAGGGGAATGGTTCAGCAGTCCTTCCTGCTCTTGCAAAGGACCTTAGTTCAGTTCCCAGCCCCCATATCAACTCCAGGTCCAGAAGACCTGAAACCCATTTCTGACCTCCTTCCCATCCATACACAGGGCATATAAACACACACACACACACACACACACACACACACACACACACACACACACACACACAAACGGATGAAAATAAATCTTCATTAAACAGCAGCATTCACGTCACTAATGTTGTATAGCTTGTATATGTCTTTCTCATTTATGAAAGTTTAACACTGGAGATATCTTTCAGGAAAAGAAATCAGTTTTCTATTGTCCTACTTATTTATTTTTGAGACAGGGCATCACCTAGACCAGGCTGGCATCAAACTCAAGGAATACTTGAAACTTTTGATTCTCTGGCCTCTACCTCCTGAGAGCTAGAATTACAGGCATGAGGCACCCCCTTCCCCCCCACACTCTGCTGATGGTCAGAGACTTTTATTAGTTCTGTGTTATTGATACTTGAAAGTGAGCCCATAGCCTTAAGCATTCAAGCACACACTCTATTTCTGAACTCTACATCCACTTTTTATACAGAAACCTAAAAGTACTGTTTTCAGGTTCAATGTATAAGGTATATTTTGTACAAAATATTTTATATTATTCATATGTGTAGATTATTTACAAAAACTATAAAAGGATGAGCAGCTTGCTACACATGGCTTTATTAAACTTGTAACTTCTGATAAATTATGTGAATATTTAAAAATATTTAGATACTTCATTTTGCTTTTATACTTTTGCATGCACAGTCATAGTAATTGCTACTCAATAAACTGGGCACTTTCTTTATTGCAGGTAATAGAAGTATTTATTAGAGCAGAAGATGGCCTTTGCAGAGAAGTGGTCAAACACCTCAATCAGATTGAAGAACAAATTTTAGATCATTTGGCATGGAAAACCAAGTCCCCACTGTGGGACAGAATTAGAGATAATGAAAACAGAGTCCCTACATGTGAAGAGGTTTGTGACAATATCTTAGCATCTTTCTGTAAGGGAAGCGCGCGTCAGTATTGTTTATAGCCCCAATGCTACAGAGAGTGTTTGGAGCTAGCTAGGGTCTGCCCTTTGGGATGTAGAGTTTTGCAGTGTGGTTAATGGTTTATTCCTCTATCAAAGGGAACCTGTAACTACCTCAAGGTTTCCATGACAGTAAAAATTGAGACTGCTATTCTGACACTCCATAAGGTACACTGGCTCAGATATGGTCTTCATATTGGTTTTGAATCTTTTAAGACTGAGAATTTTAGCTTTAGTAATTTTATTAAGAAATAACTAATTGGACAAAAATTGTTTCCTTTTACTTTAGATTGTTACTATCTGTCTCTGTCTTTTTCTTCCTTTCCCTTTCCCCTTTCCCCTTTCCCCTTTCCCCTTTCCCCTTTCCCCTTTCCCCTTTCCCCTTTCCCCTTTTCCTTTTCCCCTTTTCCCTTTCCCCTTCTCCTTTCCCCTTCTTTCCCCCTCCCCCTCCCTCTTCCCCCTCCCTCTTCCCCCTCTTCCCTTTCCCTCTCCCCCTTCTTCCCCCTTCCCCCTTCTTCCTCCTTTCCCCTTCTCCCCCCTTTCCCCTTCTTCCCCCTGTTACTATCTGTCTCTGTCTTTT